AAATAGTGCATGTTATTTGATTTTAAGAGAATAGTTTGAATGATTGAAATATGCAAAGATCTCCCCATCAAAAATTGTAAAACATGTTCTTTGGTGAGGGGTTAAGATGTACAGTGGAGCTGACTTGTAAAACAAAAAAAAATGTGCTGAAACTTACTTTTACTTCCGGAGTTCTTCCGCACATTCACTAGCATGTATAATTATATTCTAGTCCCCCCAAAAAAATCAAAAGCCTCCAGCTGTAACCGTTACATATGCACTAAAATGTATCATCATTTCTATCAATTTACATGTACATCAATTATCACAGTTTGGAAGTCGGCTAATTAATTGAGAAATATTAGATTCTCACATTTTACGACAGAAGTTAAGCATGACCCACAATCTGAAACAGCAGTAATCCAAAGTCATTTAGAAAAGATTGATTGATGTCAGTTTGTAAAAAGGTACGAAAGTTTCCTTTTTTCTGGTATAATTTAGTCTGAAGAACATTCATCGTTGCAAAAAAGACATCACGCAATAATTGGATACTAAATCACACTTTCTTCATATCTACTGGGTATAATAAACTATTTCAATAATTTTTTAGCAATAGACTATTTGAACAATATTTTGTGCAAAATAATGTCGTAAGTATACAAAAATATATATAATGATGTACATGTAGTGAGTGATAAATGAATATTGATTAGTATGTGTGATTAATTTAAGTCACCTGCCCTGTAAGTTCAATTGAGCATTTCTGATCACATGATGTCCATCGTCTGTCCGCGTGCAAACTTTACAAAATTTTGGACTACTTTTCGAGAACAACTTGGTCAATTTTAACCTAGTTGGCACAACATATTCTAAGATTGAGGGGGTTAAAAATTAAAGGGCCTTACCCATTTATAAGGGGAAAAATTTAAAGAAAAAAGGGAAAATTAGGATGAGGTCATAAAAAAACTTCTCAAGAACCACGAGGCAAAAACAAAACAAAACAAAATACAAACAAACATCAAATAGTCAATGAAATTTATGTGTAAGCGTCTGATATAGTGCAGATTTTAAATTGTTCACATCATGTCCTCGGGGCATTAGGGGATCAAAATTTGAATAGGAATAAATAAGAGAAAAACTTTAATGATCTTCTTCTCAAGAACCACTGTGCAAGAAAAGATGAAAGCAGCTATGTTAACGATTACCGAAGATTTGAAATGCATTTCAAACACGTCATTACATTGCCGACTCGGTACATGTGATCAACTCAATTATTTTTTACTTTTTATTAATATAAATTAAGTCATCATGGCTTCGTATAACTGAAAATTACTTGTGAAAAGTCATACGCGTAGTTTTAATCTTGTAAAAATATTTGATTAAGGAATGAATTTAATAGCTACCCATTTTATACGGTATAAACTGGGTTTGGAAAGTTTACGCTTTATAAACTGCGAAGCGGTTTATATAAAAGCGTAAATTGTTCCAACCATTCCTTATCATGTAATTTTCATTCATTGGTGTTAGAAAAAAAATGATTGTCCTTAAAAAATGACTACAATTTGTTCAAAATTTGAATGTAACGTCAGGAGGATCGATACGTTTTTGACGCAAGCCATTGTGACATAGGCAACCCATTTTATACGATATAAAGTAATTTTTATCCAATCAAATACAGCTTAGATCGAGTTCATTAAAATGCACCATATATTGACAATTCTTCCAGGGCATTAAAATGGTTAGCCCCTGGGTGAGGGGTGAGATTATACAGTGGAATAATTTTTTTTAAAAAATGCAGTGAAACTTACTTTACTTCCAGAATTGCATAGTTGTAGTGTGCTTTGTACATTGAAATAAATTATTACAAAGTTTGACCCGCTGATGACCTTGTCATTGAGAAACATTAGGTTAACAATTTAAAAAAAAATAACTGTATAGAAAGAGTTGTTCCAATATCAATTAAGAGTACTGGGAGGGACATGGAGACGATTTGATTTTTTTTTTTTTTTTTTTTTTTTTTTGGTTGATAGCCTTCAAAATGTTTGAGGTAAAATTTCATGACTTACATATTGCCAGAACAATCTACAGTCTACATGTAATTATACAGTCTAATTTGTCGTAAAAATGAGCTTAGAAACTTCTTTTTTTCTGAATATTATCGTATCTACAAATTTCTAGCATGTTTGATTGTTATAATCTAGCATTTTCAAGTATGTACTACAATTTATCATAACCATAAAAGTAAAACAAAAGTGGGAATTGTTTGGTGCATTAATGAAAATATTAATAAAAAGGTTAAGAGTATAATCAAAGAAAATCAGGAAAGAAACTTAAAAAGGCAAAATTACTATAAAAAAAAACAACAAACAAAAACGGCAGGACAGGTGTGGTTATGTCCCTTTTAGTGATTGTACATGTAGAACAGATTGTTTAATCGATGGAGATGGAGACGACATGCACCGTTTGGATGCTGCATTACATCTCTGTCGCCTTGACTGAGTGATAGAACTTTCTTAACAATTTATCTACTGTATTATATACTTCAAATATATTAGCATGATTATAATAAATATGTACATATATACATGTTCTGAGTGTCAAAGGCATAAAACAAGCCCGTAGGAAGCAATACCAGTTGGGTCACATCTGAACAAAAGTTCCTAGCTTGAACGGCAAAGAAAAGAGGTAAAGAGGGAAATTAAATTCACAAACTTACCGTTTGCTACATTGTTTTGTTTCAGGAAATATAAATAGATTGTTATAATAAAAATTCCAGAGTACTTTAAATAGCTTATAGATGGAAAGCTATATGTGTCTTTTTCTGTGCATATTCATTCCCGTCCTCCTGTACTTGTGCATAATGATATTAAATATTTTACTACTCCTCGTAAATTGCTTGCACATTTTTAAAATCGGTCAAAATATTTGTTAATCATAGCGTATAACGAGACCTCAAATTTCAGTAAGGTAATTAAATAATTTGAAATTCCCTTGGTTCTTTCCTTACATCATTTTAATCGATATACGAAGATAAGGTACAGATATCTTAATATTGTGAAGGACATATTCATGAGTGCATAATCTGTAAGTAAATTGTAATTGCATATAAAATTGAGCTATAAGTGTTATTATTGGTATATCTGGAGTCATTTACTTTAATGGAAACAGTTTCTATTGACATCTAGCCCCCTCTACATTTCCTTCTACATCTACGTCACATATATAACGTGGCTTTTTATGCCCCCGTATCGAATATTCGGAGGTATATAGTTTTTGCCCTGTCCGTCCGTCTGTCTGCTTGTCTGTTTGTTCTCAAAAACTTTAACATTGCCCATAACTTTTGATTGCTTAGATCTATGGCTTTCATATTTCACGTTTATTTCTTGTTACAAGACCTTTCTTTGGTTACCATCATGTTTGTCCTTTTGACCTTGGTCTAGGAGTTTGACCCAGTTTTGCAAAATTTTACCGAACTTTAACCTTGGCCATAACTTTTGAACACTTGGTGCTAGGGCTTTCATACTTCACATGTGTATTTCTTGTGACAAGACCTTTCTTTGGATACCAACAACTTTGACCCTTTGACCTTGACCTAGAAGTTTGACCTAGTTTTGAAAAATTTAAACCTTGGCCATATCTTTTGAACGGTTGGTGCTACGGCTTTCATTCTTCACATATGTAATCCTTGTGACAAGGCCTTCCTTTGGATACCAACAACTTTGATACCTTGACCATGACCTAGGAGTTTTACCTACTTTTAAAAATTTTTAACCTTGGCCATAACTTTTGAACGATTGGTGCTACAGCTTTCGTATTTCACATGTGTATTTCTTGTAAGAAGGCCTTTCCTTGGGCACCATTGGTTTTGACAATTTGACCTTGACCTTGATGTTTGACTTACTTTTGAAAAACTTCAATCTTTTCCATATCTATTCAATGGTTACTGTAGGGCTTTCATATTTCACAGGTATATTCCTCGAGACAAGACCTTACTTTGGGTACCAACATATTTGATTTGCATTTGAGAAAGTTAAACCTTTGCTATAAGTTGCCATACGGGGACATCAGTATTTTACAAACACATCTTGTTCTCAATATATTCCTCACTAAATGTCAAGAAAACATCAATATTTCAACAAATATTGTTTATATAATTATGCCCATTAACTTGTTTAAATTGAAACTTCCTTATAATGATAGAAGATGTGTTAATTTGTATTGTTCGCCCGGATGCTTCCAGCTGTAAATATACCTCAATTCTGACTTGTGCAGCGTTATAAACCTGCAAGGATTTGAGAGATCTCAGCCATACGTATAGCATGAGGTAAATGAAGTGGATGTCCGATTGAGGATGAGGAAACAAAAGCATGGCGGGAACCGGTCGACAGGGGATGCTTAATCCTCATAGGCACCAGATCACACCTCTGGTGTTTCCAGAGGTCCTTGTTTTTGTCCTCTTTACGATTCATATTCTTAACTAGATTTATGAGATTAATCACTGTTTGATATCATCACCTTTTATACTTGACTCAAAGGTTTCCAAAGTCAAGTGGTAAGATATGGCCATTAACGTATTTTATTTAGGAAAGGTCAAGATTACAGATTTCCAAATTTTAGTCAAAGCTTATATTCAATACAAGGATTTGTGATGAAAAAGTTACGAGTATGACCCTGAACCAAGTTTATATGGATAAAGTAGGTGTTCTGAAGAGTAAAATTGTACTCATGACAATAAAATAAAGATAAATTGATTCATAGCTGACGCAGGGGTAACAGAAGATCAGAGGATGAGCAGTGAATTCAGGATTTGCCCTTTATGAGATATACATGCATTTAGACAAAATGTGTAATTCAAGGAAGTGAAAATCCCCTTGAGTTCACTCTGACTTTTTTGTCGTTGTTTTTGTTTTTTTCTTATTGGTTTGGTTTTTTTCCTCTTTTGCTTTTGATGTACAATAACTAGGGTGCTTTTGTTTCGTACTTCTCATCATAAATTCTTTTTTTTTCAAATCATATTTTAGGAAACAATGCTTCTTAACAGTGATGAAGAGAATGAGTCATGTTTGGAGGAAATTCGAAAACTCTCTTCATTCTATCTAGAAGCAGACATTCATTTAATCAATCATCGAAAGTTTGAGGAACGACTAAATAAGCTTGTTAAAGACATTGAATTTGGATATGACACCACTGAGGAAACTATTTGTTTTCATAATTTTGTTTCATTTCTATATTGGAAATGTGATGAAAGAAAAAAAGCGATTGAGTTAGCCACAAAGGCCCTTGAGCTGGGAAATAACACCTCGTCGCTAGGAGCAACGGACAATATAGTAACGATATGTAATTTTTATCACTTTCATGAAGGAAATGGAGATGTAGTTGAGTCCTATAAGTTTCTTAGACAGTTCAGAGAATTGTCCAAAAGAGATGATTTTCAACAACTTAAATATATTGCAAAAGCAGAATTAGCCGTAAGTATTTCAAAGCTCGGTCCGTTTTGTGCAACAAAGGCGATTGATATGTTCCGCGAATCTGTTGACAAAATATCTACAACTGTAGATTGCTGGCAGTTTTATTTTGCATTGACTTTAAGAAGAAAAACACATTTATTTACTATTCAGAATAAGACGGATGCAGAGTTACTAAAGGAAGATAGAGAGGCGTTTGATATATTTATGAAAGTTATTGAAAACACTTCTTCGAAAAACTTGAAATCCAGAGCATTAACTGAAGTTGGATTAATAATTTACAATAATCGAGACAAGTATAAGGACGAGAATTACATGGAATACCTTGAAAAGGCGGTAGAAGTCAATCCCAAGTCATACCATGCACTTCAGCGCTACGGACAGTATTTGAGATATGGGTTAAAGCTACAGAAATCAAAGGAAATACTTGAAAAATCTCTGAAAATCCGGGAAACAACCATTGCTTATCATCACCTTGGTTTAACTTTTCAAAAAATGGTTTTACTAGAACATAGTGAAAAAAAGAAAGCAAAGCTTGCAAATCGGAAAAATATGTCAAAACAAGATTCCACAAAGGTAAGAGGAATAAGTAACAGCAACAGTGTTGAAACAACATTTGTGAAGACGAGTCGAGATCCGTTACAAGTAAGAGCAAAAATGAAATCAGTTAGATATGTACCTCTGTATCCAGGAGATGACCGTCTGCTGAATGCTGAACAAAATCTAAAAAAAGCCTTACAGATAGTCGTTTCTTTCAATCAAGCACGATATGACTTAGGACTCGTACAAAGAATGCTTGGAAAAAGTGACAAAGCTCTTGAGAATTTTAGATTTATAACAAACAGTTACAAAGGAAAAACAAGTGACCAGATTCAATTGATTGTTGCATACGAGCAACAGGCATTTTGTAGATTTGATCTATTTAAAACCAGTAAGAATGAAAATGACATAATCAATGCAGTAGATGCTTTAAATAGAGCTTTGGATATTTTGTCTTTGTATATAGACCCTCTTCCTGAACTAAAAAGTGTATCTTCTTGCATCCAGGAGATAGAAGACATTATGAACAGATATGAATATATGCACTCGGGAGAAGAAAGCAGAAAAAACAACTTTGCTCGTTTATATGAAAAGGCGAAGGAGTACAAAAAAGCATACGAGCTGTATTCGAAATGTGAGCCAAAAACTGCCGATGTTTATCAAAAGATGGTTGAAAATTTGAAAGCCGCCGGAGATTTTGAAAATGCCATTGGTATATTAAATAGATTAATTGTAGACAAAGACCCGAACATCCCATCTAGAAAATTCTTATTTCGAATGTACAAAGATGGAGCCGCACACTCGTTAGAAAATAGAAATTTTGAGGAAACAAAGATGAGGCTCCTACAATGTCGGAAATGCATTCCAGCCTGGGAAGTACATACTGAGAACTGCTATGATGAAGATAACATGCCAGATTTCTACATTCTGCATATATGTGCAGAAAGATGTCTACTTGCAGAGAAGTTAGTCCATGTACTTGCACAGTCCTTTTTCATAAAGTGGAATGTCACGAAGAATGTAGATGATTGTATACCAGGACATGCAATTACAAAATATCTCACAGACATTATCAAAAGAGCAAAATTCATACTACTCTTCTATCATGAGAACCAAATGGATTGTGATGATAATAATGGCGAATTTCTTAAAATGGAACATGAGCGTCTCAGCATTGATAAGGAAAAGGATGTGCTAAACGTTATTTATGGGGATGCCGAACAGCCATCTCACCATCCAACTATCGTTCTTCCGAATGACTTTGCCACTGCTAAAGGTGACCCTGAGACACATGATTTGGAGGGTCGTCTGACACTGGATATTCTTATGAAAACATTTACACTTTCAAGGAACACTTAAGGTTACAACTACAACTCAAACATATATATATATATATATATATATATATATATATATATATATATATATATATATATATATATATATATATATATATAGATAGATAGATAGATAGATAGATAGATAGATAGATAGATAGATATTTAAGAAATAAATAACAAGTTTAAAAACTTCAATGGGAATTGAAGTGGGTCGGTCACGTGATCAAATCCTGTGAAGGCCGAAGGCCTTCTCAGAAGATTTTAAGACGAACAATCGAATGTAATCGAATATAAATATTGCACTAACTGTACGTCGTAGATTTTGACAAATTACGCTAGGTGTAAATCGGCTTGAGAAGCGGTTACGCTTCAAATTCATCTGGCAAAGGATTCTGTTTTGAAGGGAATATTCTGTGAAAGGCTACTTGTGATAAATTATAGTGAGCATATAGGTGTCTTGGAATTTTTGTATTCATGAGATCCCATATTCGATGTTAAAAAACACAAGAAACACGTCCGATGTTTGATAATAAAAAGTTGGAGGAATTTCGGTCGGAAAGGGATGGATGGAGACACTTGTCCGGACCAGATAACTTGAAATCAAGTACAAAATTTGATCAAAAACATAAAATCTACGATTTCAGTAAGGCATATTCATTAATTTATGATGTTGACATGGAGACACTGGCGACAGCTTACATTGTTAAGACAACGTCACAACGATCTCGATGATGGAGGTGTGCCTACCGAACTTCCAAAGTGCAGTGTTTGTCAGCTGTTTGTGGCGTGATTGCATTGATATTTTTCAACAGATTTTCAAATTTATTGTGAGTAAAGTTTAATGGAAAAAAAAAATATTGCATTCAGAGGTCTGCGAGAAAAATAAGGGTAAACGTCGCATTGAGACTATGCAGCTCAGACATGAAACTTATAACACGTAGTTTTCTATTCTCTATGTAAAATCGATCAAGAACTGTATTAAATACTCGTTTACATTGTAAATAAAAGTATTATTATTTTACTTGCGTATTTTGTACATTTTTATGCATGAAAAACATGCTATATTGCTAAGTGGAGTAAGTCTTTTTATGTAGATATTACTGCGCTTTGTGATTAGGTTGCGTAATGATCTATGACCTTCAAAAAACTTCATACAGGTATGAAGATATTTGCTCTCTGCATGTTTATATAATAGAGAGATACCACAAATGTATATATATAATCATAAAAGAAAAAGAAAATGCACAGTTTCCAAATTTCATTTAACACAAGCGCTTTCTGGATTTAACAATCCTTCTTCAGGTGAACATACTTTGAACTGATTTGTTTTGCTTGGTAACGTTAACTATGACGTCATGAGTGTCTTTGCAGGGAAGGAATAAATCCATGACGCCATAGTATAACGTAAAAGTTCGGGAAAATTGAATTGTACAATAAATCATGATTTTCTCAGTCTCAATAAACAAAGTATTTAAGAAATTAATTATACAAGAAAGACATGAACTTATCAAAATATTAATGTTTGTTCAGTTTTGGTGAAAATAGATTTATAAAGTAGTTCTCTTTCACTATTCTCATTACGGCTGAAAAAAGTTTACACGTTACTAAATTCAATAAATCCAAGTCTTCAATTTACCATGGAGCACAGTGATTCTTCTATTCCTTTCCTTGACGTCATGGTCATAAAGCAAGACTCATATATCTTTACTGATATTTTTTATAAAACCACGGATACACACCAATATCTAAACTTCACCTCGTGTCAACCTACTCACACCAAAAGGAATATTCCTTACAATTTAGCCAGAAGAATTTGTACGATTGTAAAAGATACAGATACTAGAAGTCGAAGGTTGACAGAACTAAAAACATTTCTTCTTGCACAACATTATCCAGAAAATCTTATCCTTTCTGCCATAGAAGAATCCAAGAAAATCCCGCAACATATATTAAGAACGACCAGAAAAAAAGGACAAAGATCCCTTCTTAATCCCTTTTGTAACAATATATAATCCAAAACATATTAATATGTTCCAAGAGGCGAAAAAGAACTTTACAATCATCGAACGGGACAATGATCTGCAACAACTTATACAGAAATCGGACTTAATTCACAGCCAACGACAACCACCCAATTTAAAAAAATTATTAACCAGTGCTAAATTCAACTCCATTCCTGAACAATACACAGTATCAAAATGCGGTGATCCCAGATGTGGTACCTGCCCTTATATACGAACAGGATCCTCTATTATTTTCAAGTGTGGAAAAACATTTTTTGTAAATGAAAACATGTCTTGTAAAACCAAAAATCTTCTTTATTGTATAACTTGTAACAACTGCGGAGAGGAATACATCGGTCAAACCGGATCCCAATTAACCGCCCGCATGCACGTCCACCGTCAGCAAATCAATAATCCGAGCATTAGAAACACGCCATGCAGTGAGCATTTCGACATTTGGTCTCAAGGAAACTACTGTGTCTTTCCATTTTATAAACTTAGGAACGATTTAGCCGTAATGAGAATAGTGAAAGAGAACTACTTTATAAATCTATTTTCACCAAAACTGAACAAACATTAATATTTTGATAAGTTCATGTCTTTCTTGTATAATTAATTTCTTAAATACTTTGTTTATTGAGACTGAGAAAATCATGATTTATTGTACAATTCAATTTTCCCGAACTTTTACGTTATACTATGACGTCATGGATTTATTCCTTCCCTGCAAAGACACTCATGACGTCATAGTTAACGTTACCAAGCAAAACAAATCAGTTCAAAGTATGTACACCTGAAGAAGGATTGTTTAATCCAGAAAGCGCTTGTGTTAAATGAAATTTGGAAACTGTGCATTTTCTTTTTCTTTTATGATTATTTTTACTGTGTGACATCATCTTTTAACTACTTTTGAAATATATATATATATATATATATATATATATATATATATATATATATATATATATATATATATATATATATATATATATATATAAAAGAAATAATGTATCATTTTTAAACATCTATCGGGATATAAATACGGGTTGGTCACGAGATCAAATTCCATAAAGCCCGAAGGGCTTTATGGTAAATTTGATCTCGTACCAACCAGTATTTATATCCCGATAGATGTTTAAAAATGATACATTATTACTTATATTTACATTTCTGACTTATTCATATTTTATATTTTCCTGATTATAATCTTTAACGCGTGAAATGTTTCATTTTTCAAACTCAACGGCACGTATTTGATCCATTCATTGCGCGTCGACCCTTTATGACGTCACAGAGAAGTTACGTCGAACGTTTATGACGCGAGGAACCCGTGTTTATACGGATATAGATACACGTTGCTTTTAATAGCGTTATATAAAAGAAAACATTTGCAAATGTATATATATATATATATATATATATATATATATATATATATATATATATATATATATATATATATATATATATACATATATACATATATATATATATATATATATATATATATATATATATATATATATATATATATATATATATATATATATATATATATATATATATATATATATATATATATATATATATGTATATATACTTGGTGGATACTACCCATACGATATATCTATGCTTTATCCACGGGTATGCTATATCAATAGCACGTCCGGTTTTGACGCAATCCATCGCTTGAGTTGTTGCGTTATTAAATGAATGCTAATGAGCAAAAGTGTTCCTTAAAATGAGAAAAGGTTCGTTTTACCTCAATGAAATGTCTTTTTTTACTGGGTACTGCGATAACGGGTGTTAACCTCCCCCCCCCCCCCCATCGCAGGCCTAGCAGTGAAGTTGATGGTGCAAGATTCATTTGGCCATGCAGGAAAGTTTAGCCACTTTCAACAATGATTTCTTAAATAATACTATATAACTTACCATGGTTCTAAGAGTAGCTTAACACTGTCGCCATACACAGAATAATTTCACATTTATGATTCCTTGGTCTTTACAACGTACAGTAAAGTTTATATAAAATAAACCTCCAACAGATTGTCACATATGCTTCAAAAGACGCAGCAGATATCATTCCAATATTTCATATTTTATAGGACCTATCTACAAATAACTTTCTTTTGGCAAGTCAACGTCAGCTGTGCGACGTCATCAATTTTTCGCGTCATGATTTGGGTAGAAATCAATCAACATAGTTTCACAGGGGTTATCTCAAAGTTTTGTAAAAAAAGAACATCTATAATTGTATGATTTGATATTTACTTTATCCAACGAGTTGAAATGGTGTATATTCGCGAGGCTTGCCGAAAGTGAGGATACTCATTTTCACCCCAACCCGGGATTGAACTCTTGACCCGCGAAATCTGTCTCCTAGCAGTACTTGAACAGTGCACTAGACCATACGGCTATATAGGAAAGTCACAAAACTTGCTTTCGATGCCGATGGAATTCTCGCGTCGCCGCTCTACACTTCATGATCATTGAAAAAGTAGGTGAGATACAGCTATACTGTACTTTATCTCCATACATTTCAAGCTATATGAACATTAGTTTTATAAGAGGATCGTTATCGATAAACATTGCAGTGAAATTAATATTCCTTACTTCCATTGATAACGGGATTTCATAAGGAATTTAAATTGGTTGTATCAAACACCATTAATTTCGTTTTCTATTCATAATAAAGGGAGGATTATTAGATTTTTACTCTACATACAAAAAGTGCCTATGTCACAGAAATACCAAGAATCATGAGGGTCAATGTCACTGAAAGGAAAACACAAAGAAATGATTCTTGGTTTATGACAAAGAAAGTGAGAAATAATTAGAAGCTTCTTGGCAAAAAAAAAAAAATACCCGTGACAAGAATGTATTCTGATTTTTCAATTTTTCTTAGGCTAATTTTGAAAAGACGGGTACCCTACATTATATATATATATATATATATATATATATATATATATATATATATATATATATATATATATATATATATATATATATATAT